TTTACACCAGGGAAATTTTTTTTAAATCCGGTAAGAGGGGGGGTTTTTTTTCCTTTGGGATCCGGGGGGGGGGGGGGGGGGGGGGAGGGGGGGGTTGGACTACATGGGTGTAAGATGAAGGACAGAGTCATTCAGTGGGCATCTGTTCATCCGAGTGGTAAAGATATTAGTCAGCAAGATGGAACCTTGAGGGGATTCTTCTGTATTCATTCACATGGCGCAAATTTTCCAAAAGGCTCGTTTTAGACCTGGCGCTACGCATACCGAAGGGTACTGTACGCTAGTGTACAGTAGACTCGAGACAGTACGAGACAGTGCAGTACAGTACAGTACTGTACACTGTAGTATTGGCGACCGCACCGACCTTCTGAAACTGATCATCTGTTGCGAAATGTCAGGACCTTAATGAAACGCTGATGGTTGGAGATGCCATGGTAATCAAAATGGCGCGCGGAAAAGTTTAACTGGAAGATGGAATATGGTGATTTCGACAAGCGAAAGCGGAAGAGATGCAATCAGAGAGGGTTTTAACGCGGAGTACGTGGGCACGCAATCTGAAAGAAGGAAAATGAGGTCGTTCAGGCTTCGCAAGGCAGGTGTTGAACACGTTTGTTGGTGTTTGTGACCTTGCGCTGAGAGTGTTGATGTGGAAAGAACTTTGTAAGTTTAAATGTAGTGTCGACGTGGTCCAGTCCATGCTGTATGTATCCATGCTTTCGCTCGTTTGGAATACAGGTGCGGCATAATGGTTTCCAGATGTGTGAGAAGAGGTCAACGGCGGTGCCAGGGAAGAAAAAGGAGGGAATGAGGGTGCGTCGAGGTGGTTTGAATTTCAAAATTCGAAAAGTCAGAAATAGCGGCAGAAGACTGCGCCGTGCGGCGGCAAAACGTCTCTAAAAAAAGCGAGGTCGGACGTCATGAGAAGGGCCCAATCACGGTGCATAAACGGTCTTTTGTGCGTCATGTCTCACGATAGCAACCAATGAGCAGCGCCGTCACAAGAGAAGTGTCACGGCGGTCCGTGTGTAGTTCTGTACCTGGCCCCAGTAGGCAAGCGGAATTCGGTGCGGTATGCCTAACGAAGGTTGGCCCGTACATATCTTATGTGGAATGTCTGATCCACCTCCATGTGTGCCACCCCTTCCCCTGGATGCGTCGCGGCAAAATTCGTAATCAACGAGATCGGCGTACACTCCAGCCCCTCCTAAATTAGGAGTCCTAACCCCCTGCAGCGGGCACAACGCGCGGAACTACAAAGCTGCTTCGCCTCGCGAACGCCGCCGATGCAAGAAACTTTCCCGTTGGATCGCACAGATGACGTACCCCTGTACGCACGCTTCCTTCCCCTCCGATGTCCCCGCTGAAGTCCATGCTGTGTCGTGCCACCGCCGCAAACTCCGATTATATATTGGATTTTCATGTCCACACCCCTCCATGAAACCTCCTCCCCGCCCTCCTGTCTTTTTCTCCTACTGAACTCCCACAAGCAGTTCGGAGACACATGCTAACCCGATTTCCTCTTCCATATCGCATTTATACCGGCCCGCTCCGGTCGCATCCGCCCGCGTCGTCGATCCATTGAATTCACTCCCCCCCCCCCCCCCCCCCCCCCCCCCCCCTCTACCTCCGCGTGCCTCGACTTCCTCTACCTTCTCTACGTCTTTCTCCGATCCTCTCTCGTCGTTCTTTGAATCTGGAAAGTTGCGTCTATCGGCAGGCGTGTCTGTCCTTCTTCTGAAATCATGCAGACTCCCATCGCCGTCGAGTCCCCTCAACATATCCCCGACATGTCGTCTCGTCCTGTCCTCGCTGATCGCCAGTGCATGCAACATCCCGACTCTGGAAAGAAGGCCCATCCAGAGCATGTCATGCCGCGTGGTCGCAGCTTCCATGGGTCTCGGAACCTCACCCCAGCGCAAGCCGCACAGGATGGATTCCATCACCGTTTGGCTGCCAAGATGTTGGCAGAGAAGAAAAAGAAAGCAGTGGCTGCCCAGTCTGACAGACAAGCCCTTGATACACGCGATGTTGACAAGGAGGCCGAGCCCACGGATGTCATCAACATAACAGTAGACGCGAAGGGAGTCATGATTGACAGCGCCAAGGGTACCACTCAAGGCATGGGCGGCAGATCCAACTCTCGATCCCGCATGACTAGATCGACGTCTAAGTCCCGCAACTCCTTCCGTCGTGCCGATGACAAGGAGAATATCACCGCTGATGTACCCAGCTTCAAAGCGGTTGAAGCTGATGTTGCTGCATATTTTGGTCGAAAACGTTCTGTTGATCTCTCCCGCCGTAAGAGGGACACTGAAAATGATAACTTGAGCTCCTGGGATGGTTCTATGCCGAAGCGCCAGAGCAGCCGCAGTTTCATAGATCGCAAGGTCGGAACCAAGACCTCTGCCACTCAGAACGGCGAGGCGGAAGCTCGAGTAATGTCTTTGGCGCCACCGAGTGACACAGATGTCAACGACAGGCCGCGTCGTCGTCGCAGTCAGAAGTTGGCAGCATTGAAGAAATCTCTTGAAGAAGAGGGCACGAAGATCGAAGCCTTGAAGCAACAATTTTCTGCAGTCGACCTCAACGGTACATATCAGAACAACCCATCCGACGAAGACATCACTGGCAAGCAGAACAGCCAAACGACTATCAGGGCAGATGCGCGACTAGAAGCTCAGGCCAACACTCCACTGTCAGGTATTCGTAGCCTCCAAGCTGGCGGGTGTGTGAAGATTCGTAGAGAGATGAACGCTGGAAATGAGGCGATATCGCGAGGCGTCCATTCTGTTCGAGCTGAAGAATGCCCCGACAGGAACGGGAGAGAGGTTCCCGCAAGCGGAAAGTGGTGTGACGATTGTGCCGGGTTAGGTCTCCACATTGCGGCGCTTCTGTCCCAATTGGACAAAGCTCGGTCGACGACTGACAGCTCATCAGAAGGGTCCTCATCGAGCTGCAATTCCAAGAAGGGGTGGAAGAGCATGGTGACGCAAACGATGCTGGGCGACAGTAAGAGCAAGAGCAGCACAGAGAAAGCTCGTCTTCAACAGGAAATTAATGTTTTGAAGGCTACTGTCGACTTTTTGTACAAGAAAGTAGAGACGCTGGGAAGCGGTCGTAGAGTTGGTGAAGGTTCAGCCTCGTGATAGTGATGGGAATGATTGCGGTGCAACTCCCTAGCTGGGATCTCTTCGGTCATGCAGAATTTCACATCGCTATTAGATTCACACTCGAATACCAAACTGCACTGTAGCCGTCTGCGTAGTACTCACTGATTTACCAAGTTTCCTAGCTCTTCTGTAGGGTACTCCCCATTCTGCTATATCATCATGCGCCTCGTAATGTGAACTGCGGGTGTCATGTCATTGAGAGCGGAAGCTGCATCTGTAGGACACTGCATCTGTAGGAAGTACGGTAGGACAGGACGGATTGTGGCGTGGGATTTCACGCATGCGTACCGTTTTCTGTTGCGCAAGTCTGCACGGCCACTAATACTGCAATATAGTACCGAACAAGAAGCCATACTGTATCTCCTTCGCGATTAAGAATATTGAGCAATTCACGATGAGAGTGCTTTTAGGCCTTGCGACTTCGAACAAGAATTCATTGATTGGCGATAGAGCAATGGTACAATGCAGCACTGTAGTTACATGAGGGACCGCCATTTGTAAATGAAGCGACAGATTCACAAGCGCATGAGATGCACACACACGTACCTGACGGGTACAGTATTATGCATCATGTACAGTATGATATTGGTCGCACGTGCTGTGTATTCCACGTATGATACGAGAGAGCCTATCATACCGTACATGCATGTTGCCTGGCAGGGATCACGTAAATACTTTATCGCGGCAAGAGGTCTCACCCATCTAGAAGATGGTTCCAGGCACTGATCCAACGTCCGTCGTCGAACAAGCATTGCCGTTGTCCTTGGCGACGCGTTCTCGAAGTATATCGGTTCGTAACCGGTGGTGCCAAGGGTGGGCAGCATTATGCTCGAAGCTGTCGCATGACGGAACTGGCTTGGATTGTAAGCGTAACTGAGAAGTGCAAGACTAGTGCAGTAGTGCAGATTGGAAGACGAACGCTTTGCCATTTGGCCGTGGTTCTTTCTACATATGCGGTATGTTTGGGCTGAAGATGTTGTGGCACCGTAGATTGGTCAGGTCGCGCGGCAGTTGTGTGCGCCCCGTGTGGGCCTGTATCGGAAGAAGACTGACCTGTGATTTTTTCCGAAGAGAAGAATTGTGATCTCTTATGCGGTGAATTGGCAGTCTCGCGACACTGCGAGACATTCATGCAGACATTTCCCTAAAGGCGAAAGCTTCAAAAAAAGGGTTGTTGAGAGTACCATATCGAAAAGCTATTGCCCAAGGCCAAATTCTACAAGGGCTTTGTCCCAACCGGCAACACCCTAATATCTTTGAGTGGACTTGCATGAAGCCATGGAATGCAAGTGGGCATCAAGCGTGAGATTTAGATGGTTAGTTGCGCAACTGCACGCGGTACAAAAAAAGTTGTACGGTTTGGAGCGCGATATGGAGATGCAGAATGGGCATTTAGTATCAAGGAGTAAGGCGAACAAGCGAGGGGATCACGCGACTTCGTCCAAACGTAGCAATAGAGAGAGAGAGGGAGGTAGGCGGTTCTGTTCCTTTTCGAAGGGACAGGCTTTGCAGGGGAAACTGGCTTACCGCACTGTCCTGTGCCTTTTGTTTCTCGGAGAAGGCACGATTTCCTTGAGCTCTAATAGATGTTTCAACGTGTGGTTTAAATCCACACGTTGAAACCCTAGCCTGGTTGCAACGATTTTCTGAGGAGGATCGTGGGACGCTTCCCTGGGACTGAGGAGCTGGGTTTTGTTTGCTTTCTTAGGTCCAAGGGCGAGGCCTGGAGCCAAGGAAGTGTGGTGTGTGTTGTACAGTATGGTGCTGGGCAGTAGATGGTGGAGGATGGGTGAGTGCGGTAGGGGGATGATGTGTTGGATTGTAGGGTGTGGGACGTGTACATGCACGAACATATATGGAAGAGCGAGCAGTGACCAAAGAAAAGTAGTTGAGATGGGCATTGGGGGCGGTGTAGAATCAAGGTGTGGTGCGCCTGAGGCTATGGAATTTGAGATTGAGAATTTTGTTGCACAACGGAAAAAGGCAGAGATACAGTATGAGAAAAAGTAGATTTAGATAGATTCGCGATACCGACTGGCGCCTCATCCGGTTGCACTGACGCACAATTGGCCCGAGCAAGATATTTCCCGGCGAATCCCGGCTCCGTCCCCACCGCAAGACCGCGCTCGTCCGCTCAAACCTCGGCACAGCCAGGCACTCCATTCCACCTCTCCGTCGCATTCCTCCCACCATCGTTTTCACTCACTCCTCCGCCCGCTCGCATTCCCTCTCTTGCACCCCCTCCGCTCTTCCGCCCCACCCCTCCGAAACCCCCTTTCACCTCAC